CTCAGTGTGCACATCACATCTACTTCAGATGCAGGAGAAAAGAATTCAGAAGCATGTGCCATTCCTCCTGCCAGAGGAAGCTCAGACTCCAGGACTGACTTGGTTTCAGAAATAATATTCAACAGCAGCAATCCAACAAGTTTCCAACACAATTACATGGAGTTGGAACAAGAGGAGCTTAAGGTCCCTTTCAACTTAAACCATTCTGTGACTCCATGGAGTCAGTGAGCCCCCCCAGGACTCCTCATCAAGGTGAGTGTTCACACAGCTACAGCTCCTTCACACAGTCCATCAAACCTGCTGCTCACTTTTTGCAGGACCTTGAAACATCTGACTTGCTCTGACAAGCAATTTTCACAGCAAATAGTTTGTCTTAAGCTTCTCCAACTTATTAGTGCTGACCAGGTGAGACTGTTTGGCTCTTTGCCTTGCAAGAACATATCAGGAGCATCACTAATCATCAAAGGGCTATTCCTGCTCTCCCAGGACAGTCCCAACTTTTCCAGATCCAGCATACTGGATTTTTTTTTTTCCTCTCTGGGTATTCCTTAACCCCTGTACAAAAGAAAGCTAATTAACAACTGTAAATGTTCATATAAAAATAGCCAACATCTGTTTAAATTTAGAAATTTATTTTTGTTTAATCCACAAGCTTTATATAGCTTTAGTTAAAAAAACAAAAACAAAAAAAACAAAAACAGTGAAAACATGACAATATCCAAAGTTCAGGTTCCTCAGACTTTCAAAGACCTCATCTCTGAAAGCTGCTCAGACCACTCCGAAGAACCGTAACGAGACAAGATTTATGAACGGGGCAACGACAGCTCACAAACAAAAAGTTATGGAACTGAAGGAATTAGTTTGGGTTGGTTTTTTTTTTTTTGGGTTTTTTTTTTGTTTTGTCTGGGACTGCTGTTCATGGAAACTGCCCTTTAAAAAAAAAAAAAAAAAAAAGAACATAAAAATACAAATGAAATTCCAGTGTTCCAAATCAACATGTTACATCAATATAAACCCACAGTGTCCTGGTAAACAACATGCTTTCATTTCTGTACCACTCTACAGTGCTATTCTTGGTTGGCTGTAATGGAGACTATACAGGCAACAGTAGAAAGCATTGAAATATAGATGGATTTCCTTGGAATTCTGCAGTGGTTTTACTCCTGGGCAAGCTTACAAACCACAAAGGTTAGTAGCATCATGTAAGTGGATACAAAAGAAGTCAAATGAGACCCTCACAAATTCTGCTCAAGGCTCTGTTGGAGTTCAAAGAAATGAGGGAATTGACAGTCATGTTCCAAACCTTCCAAACAAACTCCTACTGCTTCTAAAGCCTCACCCTAAATGAAATTATGCTGTCAATGAAAGAATGTCACTAGTACACTGTGGACACCTTTTGTAATGTAAATCCATGCCCTTTGTACATGGTGAACCTCAACCTAGCAATTATTACAACAAATGTTATAGTCTAAAGCTCAAACACATTTAGCAATTTGAAATTGAATTCTGAGTACAAACCAAATAAAATGTACATTATATCAAAGGGTTGGGCCTAGGACGGGGGGGACACCTGTGCCTTCCTCATGGACCTCAGGGCCTTCTCCCGCAGATGCTTTTCTAGGTCATCCAGGTTGTCTTCAGGTTCACTTTCTGTCTCCTTCAAACAAAGACAAAGAGTTGTTTCAAACACCTGAGCCAAGCCAGGCTCAGCCCTCCCAGCACTGCCCATCACTGAGGGAAATCACAACACACAGTCACCTTTCTGAAGCAAACTCACTGTCAGACCACGAGAAGCACAGAGCACATCCATCTCCAGTCAATTCCTTGCACTGCACCCTTACAAATAAAGCACAGCTACCCAATTCTTACCTTTTTGGGTTCTGTCTCTGCTTCCTGGTCTTCCTGTGCTGAGGTGGTGTCTGCTGCAGCCACAGCAGCAGCAGCTGTGGCCGCTGCTGCCTTCTCCTTCTTATGCTTTTTGTGTTTCTTGTGCTTTTTATCCTTTTTATGCTTCTTATCCTTCTTTTTCTTCTTCTTCTTGCCACCTCCTTCTTGATCTGAATTCTGCAACAAACAATTCAACAGTATTACAAGCCATGCAGAAGGCTGCAGAATTCTCTGGCAAAGAACAAATGTCCTTGGGAAACACCTCAGGAGGACAGACAAAGATGCCAAACAACCTGTTCTCTTTCTTCTAGCAACAGCCTGAGCTTACACATAAGGCTACAAAGCATAACTAAGTTCACCTCACTTTGTAGACCACGCAGACTCATGAAATGGGAAAGACTTTTCTTTCAGAAGTTAAGATTTCTATAATAGCACTCTTTTTTTTAGCTCCAGACACTGTGATGTTAAGTTTGAAAAATGTTACAAATTGCTTTAAGAAGTTTTGAATTATGAAAAAATACCCAAAGGATTTCCCACTCCCCCAAGTGAATAACCTCAGAGCTGCTCAGCAGCCAAGTCTTCATGAAATAATTTGCTCTACAAAACCCACAACAGTTTTATGAACAAATAAATACCCTGGCAGGTGATGGGCTCTGGGTTGGGCTCTTAGCCTTTTTTGCAGGTGACCAGTTTGCAGAGGGAGAACGAGACCGAGCAGGGGATGCAGGTCCTTGATGCTTTTTGGGTGCAGGTTCAGGGGACCCTGACGCAGAGCGCGAGGACGACACGCGCCGGGGACTGGGTGTGGAAGCCCTTGGAAACACAAGAGTCACAATTAGAGATAGGAGACAGAAAACAAGGAGAAACAAAGAGCCAAATCAACACATGTGTTTACAACTTGGTCAAGCTGCCACTGAACAGATTATTAATTGCTTTGCTGGCATGTGACAAAAGGCAAAACAACCCAATCCCACTGTGGGTGTGTAATGCAGGAGGTTAATGTAGACTGACAGTCTGTCAGGCACTGCTGCTAATCACTATCACTAATTGATAACCATGTTATCAAGAGGTCAGCAAGGCTGTTTTATCACCCAATGAACTCTGCAAGGCTTTTCCATTCAGCTACAGCTTCTTCCTGAAAAAAATTGCTAAGCCAGCACCATGCTCTTGGCTAGCTGCTCACAAGAGTATCACAGTAAAGACAAAGCGATTTAGATTTTAGCAGTTTATCTTGGATGACCATTTATGAACTGGTTTATGAGCTACTGAAAAATGCTGGTTCCCTTCCATAGTTAGGTTTTAAGTACAAGAAGGCTCATTTTTCTTCAAAGGCAGCAGTTAGAAGAGAAGGCTCAGGGAGACCTCATGGCAGCATTCCAGTGCCTTCAGGGAGCTTGTAAAAACGACTGAGAGAGACTTTTTATATGGGCAGGTAGTGACAGGACAGAAATGGTTTTAAATTGCCAGAAGGCAGGGTTAGATTGGATATTGGGAGGAAATTGTTCACTCAGAGGCACTGGCACAAGTTGCCAGAGAGGAGGTAGACACTCCATCCTGGAAGTGTTCCAGGCCAGGCTGGATGGCACAGGTTGCCAGAAAGGAGGTGGACACTCCATCCCTGGAAGTGTTCCAGGCCAGGCTGGATGGCACAGGTTGCCAGAAAGGAGGTGGACACTCCATCCCTGGAAGTGTTCCAGGCCAGGCTGGATGGCACAGGTTGCCAGAAAGGAGGTGGACACTCCATCCCTGGAAGTGTTCCAGGCCAGGCTGGATGGCACAGGTTGCCAGAAAGGAGGTGGACACTCCATCCCTGGAAGTGTTCCAGGCCAGGTTGGATGGGGCTTGGAGCAACCTGGGCTGGTGGAAGGTACCTGTACTCATGGCAGGGGATGGAACAAGATAAACTTTAAAATCCCTTCCCCACAAAGCACTCCATGATTCTATTCCCACTGCATCACAACAAAACCAAAACCCCTGACAGAACCAACAACAGCAAAGACAGATTGTTTACTTTGTCTTCTTGGGCTCTGGCGTTCTGGACACCCTCCGGATGGGCCTGGTGCTGGGGGATGGAGACTGTCTCCTCTGGGGGGACGCCGAGGTTCCCCTGCGCGGCGGCGCTGGGCTGGCAGAGGTATGAGCCACTCGAGGCCGTGGTGAAGGTGAATGCCTTTTGTTTTGTGGTGGAGAACGTGTTTCCCTGTTGGACCTACTGGGAGGAGATCCCTTCCTGTGCTTGGAAGATATGGAAGGGGAACGTCGTTTCGCAGTTGGTGAGCTCCTCTGTTTTGGCGGTGGTGAGTGGGAGACTCTGCGCTTGGACTGAGGGGAAGGGGATGCCCTTCGTTTGGGAGGGGGAGGAGGAGAAGCTGTTCTTCTCTTGGGTGGAGGAGAGGGAGAGTATCTCCTCTGGATCGGTGGGGAATATCTCCGTGGAGAAGGAGAGCGTCTGCGCGGGGGTGGGGATGGAGACCTGCAAAGGAAACACTCAGCTGCCACAAAAAGGTATGGAAACTGGTCACCAGTGTCCTACCTTTCACACTCAGCTGCCACAGAAAGATATGGAAACTGGTCACCAGTGTCCTACCATTCACCCGAAGAGGGGGAAAAAAGTCTCCTCTATAATTCTTTAAAACTTCGAAAAATTTGAACTGAAATGCTTTACAATTTGTTGTCCTGAAAGGTTGTGGCTGGCCCATCCCAGCTGCCACAAAAAGGTATGGAAACTGGTCACCAGTGTCCTACCTTTCACACTCAGCTGCCACAGAAAGATATGGAAACTGGTCACCAGTGTCCTACCATTCACATTCAGCTGCCACAAAAAGATATGATATGGAAACACCAGTTTGAATGGTAATTCACACTCAGCTACCAGAAAAACATATGGAAACTGGTCACCAGTGTCCTACCATTCACCCGAAGAGGGGGAAAAAAGTCTCCTCTATAATTCTTTAAAACTTCGAAAAATTTGAACTGAAATGCTTTACAATTTGTTGTCCTGAAAGGTTGTGGCTGCTCCATCCTTGGGAGTTGAATGGTAATTCACACTCAGCTACCAGAAAAACATATGGAAACTGGTCACCAGTGTCCTACCATTCACCCGAAGAGGGGGAAAAAAGTCTCCTCTATAATTCTTTAAAACTTCGAAAAATTTGAACTGAAATGCTTTACAATTTGTTGTCCTGAAAGGTTGTGGCTGCTCCATCCTTGGGAGTGTTCCAGGTTGGATGGGGCTTGGAGCAACCTGGGCTGGTGGAAGGTGTCTCTGCCCATGGCAGGGGATGGGATGAGCTGAGCTTGATGGTTCCTCCCAACCCAAACCATTCCATGACTCTACAATTCAAGACTTGCTACAGCAACCCAACACCATCCAGCCCACACGCAACCTCACCAGCAAAACTATATTTCCCTCAGTGAGCTATGAATGAAGGAACTGCTACGAGGATATGGCCTAGTTGGAAGTCAAGAAACCCAAAGTGATGAGGAGCAAACTGTGGTACCTTCTCCGAGGCGGCGAGGGGGAGCGCCGGCGCCTGGGAGGGGGAGCCGG